ATATTAAAAAAAAAACAATAATTGTAATGTATAACTTTCTTAACTACATATATAATAATCTCTAAAACGTTAACTTTCATGATTAGCAGATTGCAAGTTAATTATTCTTTCTTTCTATCACGTATCAAATGCCTAAAAAAGTAAAACAGCTTACCTGTAACGAATTCTCCAGTTATCATCAAACAATCCTTTTTCTAATTCAGGTAAAAGAAGGAGGATGGCAGAGTCGGCATAAAGATTAACAATACGTTGACCTGCCTTCAGTGCCGTATCTCTTACATATTCGTTTTCATCAGCTAACGCTTTTAAAATCGGGTTTATAATTTGACCTATATACGGGGTGAATTCCTGTTGAAATACAACCGGCATGTATATAAACATCATAATGTAACCATCTTTCACGTGCGGAGCGATGTCAGTTCTTTCTGCAGTCGCTATGATTTCTAACAAAAAAAAAAAAATAATTAGTAAATTTACATATACTGACTAACTTCTGTTAAAAATAGAATCATTATAATTTGATGTGAAAGTTAAACAGTGTTTATTGAAAGGATTAAAAGTATTATGCTTTTTGATTAATTTAAGTGAAGATTTCAAAACAGAAATTATGTTATTTGCTATAGTTAGTACGTATAGCAGATAGTTTTTAGTTTCAGTATTTTTTAAAACATGTTTCGGCGCCTTTTAATAACCCTAAAATTAATTCAAACTAGATTTCACTTGTTTTCATGTTCCTGTTTTTTAAAATCATTTCATTATATTCAAGCACTACAATTTAATTGTGAATATAATGTAGTATTTTTTGAATTAATTCATTTTAGTGAGTGCACCTTACGACTATGTGATATTTCCCAATTGTCCGTAGTGTGTAAGGGGTCGCTAATAAAATAGGTTTGCAAATAGCGGGTCTAAGGATATGTGATGTTCGCAGTTCATCAATTTTAATGAATTGTTTTACTATTCAGTGCAAAATTAAAAGCTGCATTGGGGCAAAAAAGAGTTTATTTCCTTTCTTTTAACCAACGCCAAGGTTTCATCTATTGTGTAAAGGTTTAATCAAGATAGGCTTTTGCATAAAAAGGAATTAAAGACTCAAAAACCTACCTTTACAATGTTTCATATCAGAGGATAAAACGTTGATATCGTTTTAATTGTAAAAAATAAAACCTTTTTTGCACCAATGTTTGCATTGATCTTGAACTGTACATTAAATTATTAAATAAACATACCTGGCATAAGTTTATGGAGTTTTTCAACTCCAAGACCTCCGACCACTTCTGAAAGACCCTGAGCAGCTCCCGAGCGATCCACCGAACTACTTTCCGAAGTGAGAGTTTGTAGCAGCCATGGTAGCAAGTCCTCAAAGCTAGATTCTCCCATTCCTCGAACCATAGCTCCTAAAGCTCTGGCACTGACACTTCGAACCTAAAAGCACACAAGAATTTTGACCAAATGAAAAACTATATAAATGTGTTTATTAAATCGATAGTCACCTCTGGAACAGGATCGAGGAGCGACATCTTCAAACCTGGGATAATAGTAGGCAAATATGGTGTCAGATCCTTTTGATCAGTTAATGAGTACATGTTGCCGATAATCTGTGCAGCCATTTTGCGCGTTTCGGTTGACCTATCTTGGAACGCCCTTTGAACCACTGGCATAATTAAAGCTAAGGACGGCGCGTCGATAAAATGCACAAACTGAGTATCTAGAAGAGTTTGTAAACACGCCGATGTCTTGTGAGATGGATCTTGGAGTGCTTCCAATAATACTGGCACAATAGCTGAAAAAATATTAAAAATTGTTATCACGTATTTTTAAACGGTACTATTTGAACTAGGTATTTATTTAATTAAAATACAGTATTTCGGTGTTAAGTGAACATACTGTATTTAAAAAAATAATGTTTTAATGTTTTTACCTTGTATTTCAGGGTTTCTGATAACAGATCCAATTACTCTTAAAGCTTCGGTACCAGCTTCTTGTACTTTCATATGAGAATCGCTAAGAACTTCAATGAGCTTTGGGACAATGCTAGGCAAACAGGATGAAAGTTGTTTGGGGGCGCAATATGCCATAGCTCCAAGTAACTCTATGGATCCTATGATAAAAGGAATAATAATAAAATGCCTGAATGTGCAAAAAAAATTTTTGAGTAGTATAAAGTTAGTCTTAGCTGATATTGTTCGTCCCATAAAAGAGCAGGAGATTCTTTAAGAACCACAGAAAGGGCTGCCCCTCTTCCTTGTCTTAAAGTCCAGTCAGCTGAAGTATCATCATCTAAGAATTAACAAAGACAAATCAATTTTCAGTTATTATTTAATTTTTACTTTTTTTCAAAGACAAATTAAATAAAGAATTAACTGAATGTTTTTATGTAATATAACAATGAAAGATCTTAAGTAACTTAGTTACTCTTATTATTGGTAAAAATATGTTTGAGTGTGTTAGAAAGCCAAGATTTCTCCAGAAGGATATCAAAAGACTTAATGCAGCTTTAGCGTTGTAAATAAATCCCCACCTTTCTTATTTTAAATTATTAAACAATTATCACTTATGGCTATTTTTATCAGAAGTCCTACATCTAAACAATCTTTTTAGGTGATAAATTTGGAAAATTTTGGCTTATTTTCAAAACAATTACCTAAATACCATAAGTTTCAGTAAAACTTACTTAAAATATGTTCAGTTATTGTTGTGTCTAGTTGAGGTGGTGGTAACCATTTGCAAAGGGCACCTAAACAACCAGCAGCAACGTTTCTTGTCACCTCTTCAGGATGGTTTAGTAAACTAATAAGTGTCGAATGAATTTGTTTCCTGACGGGTTCGGACATTTTGTCTCCTGCAGGGCTTATAATTCCTCTCAAAGCATGAAGGGTGGTTTCTCTGAATAATAAAAAAACATTAATTGTGAATTTAATCAAAAAATTTATAATCCCTAAAAGTACTGTATTATTAGTATTAAGTATGTGTATATTCTGTGCTTATTCTGAGGCGGTGAGTGGGCCAAAACCCCCTCATCACGTTCATGTAAATTTCTCAAATAAATAAATAAATATAATAAATTTGCATGACGTATATTCAGGCGCGGATACAAAATTTAAACATTTAAATAATGTTCTGTTTGACTGTAAACTAAATTTAATAAGTATAAAATAAATGTACAAAAAGTGATAATAATAGGCAACAACGAATTTCAAAGCAAAAATTTAACTAACTCAAATCTAAAAATCTGAAGTCCAAAGTAATCTATTCTATTACTCCTGGTCACTATGAATTTTTCGAAAGATGAAAACGACCTTTCCGCTGATGCCAATTGTAAACGCACTCATTTTGCTAACGAGATACGAGTAGATAGAGCTGCCTAAAAAATTACGTAGATGTGGGGGGGGGGCAATTTCACCCAATGTCCCGGCTGTATCCGCGCCTGCGTATATTCTTAAACTTAAGTACATGGTTCCTTCTTACCGAACTGATGAATCGTCTGTGTTTTTTATAGTGTTGTGCAATTCAGTAAACAAGGGATCAGGCCTTTGATGGATTACAATCAAATAGCTAAGCGCTTGTGCCGCCTTCAGTCTCACAGTTCTATTTGGGTCGTTTAGTGCTTTAATGAAGGTTGTTTGAAGTTGTGGAAGAAATTGTTTCAGCATTATTCCAACCTAAAGTTATAGTTTTGAAATAGAATTAATCTTAATAGTAATAACTTAGAAACTGAGTATAGTAACCCTTTAAGTAAATTAAACATAACATCTATTTAACTATTTATAAAATTCTCAGAAAAGTATAAAATTGTAAAGTGCTACAACTAATTGACAATGGATGGTTAAATAATCTAAATGTACTAATTCTAAGTGAATAATAAAAAAGACACAGTTAACTATTGTCTTTAGCAAAAGAAAGTACTCATACAAGTTTATAAAATAAACTTTCTTGAAGAATTAATACACCAATCTAATATACAACTTACCTAAATATAATACAGTATGAATGTGTCATATTTAGTTGTTGATTTGTTAAAACTATTAATTTTAAAAAAATACTCGCTTTGTTGTATAATTCATTAAAGAAACCCTTATATATTATTAAAAAGTTTACCTTTGCCAAAAGAGTGGCTAACGTCTCCAAAACGGCCGATTTTACATTTGAGCTAAATCGATCGCCAAGAATCCTAATGAGGGGTCCAGTAATTGCTACCACACTCGGTTGTAGAGCAGCAGCACTAGTTAACCGGATAACTTCACCTAATCCTTGGGCTGCTTGTTCTTTTTCGTCGCCATCGCCGTTCAAAATGGCTTCACGGAAAATTGGCAAAATAGGGGCGATTCCTTTTGGTAAGCAAAAGCCAGGTAGTAACAAATCTGTACCGATTCCTTTTATATCTGACAACGCATACCGGACGGCTTGGCGAACATCCGAAACGTAAGCTGCCTGCTGCTTTGGTTCCAGATTCTAATAATTAAAATCAATGAAATTTATTATTCTGGGAGCAATTTACAAAATTAATAACAAAATCATTTTATTGTATTTAATAAACAATTTAACAGCTATCATGAAATAATACACATTCAATGTACCTAAACCATTCTTAGTGTCGCGTTTTGGCGTTTCTGATATTTAGAGTGATACTAAATTATTAAACGTATTACGTTTAGATACATTCCCCTCTCTTTGCAATTATTTTACCTTCAGAAATCGTCTTTATGAATGAATAAATGAATACTCTTTTGAGGTGAAAAACTGAGTTGTCCTTATTGTTAATCAACTTTATTATATAAACTTTTATAAGGAACATCGTTAAATCATTAACTATTCCATTATTTTCCTTATTAAACACAATAATTGATGTGATATATCCTACCTTAGTGATTGCATTTAGTGCTTCCCACGCCATCTGCAGAACGTCCTTGTCATTATCAGTACACAAGTGTATAAGACCACGCAATAACTGTGGAACATGGGCGATATATTGCGCTCGGGAATTTGCACAGAAAGCACACAAGAGCGCCGCAGCTGCTCGTCGTTGATCAGTATTATCAGTACGGGTGTTTTCTAATAAAGTATCCACAACCGTTCTTATTCCTGTTTCGTCTACAACCGACAGGATAACTGCTTGGCAGTATTCCAATTGCTGAAACAAATTTTGATGTGAAATGTCTTTAGCTGAAGTTTTTGGTTGTTACATTAGTCAAATTTTTCAATTAAATCTACTATACTAAAATAAATAAAAAAAACTAGATAATGACATACAAAGAATCGAAACTGTACAAATTAAATAAAAATCATTTTAATCTAATAGAAAAATATCCGCATTTTCCTAAAAAACTTGGAACAGTAATATTATTTAGAATTTAGTAGTTGTATTAAGTAAGTAAAATATTCAACATAACAAAAACTGTTGCATACCTGCGCTTCTTCTGGCGTACCCTTAGAACTGGCAAGAACTGTTTGTAAAGCTGGCAAAATTCTTGGTAAATATCTGTTCAATGCTTCACCGGCAACCGAAGCTAAAATTGAAAGCGCTTTAGTGTTTGCTGGTGGTGCAGTTAATTGAGGAACCAAATATGGAAGAACAACTCTTGATTTTATAGCCATTACTTGACGTAAACCATCCAGGGTCCACTCGACGGTATTTGCGTCATCGCTATTCTGTAGAAAAAAGAACAACTCTTAAATTAATTATTTGACAGAAATCTTATCTAAATTAATAATCGTTGCTACATAAATCATATATTGTATTAAAAAGATAAGTTTTTCACCAAATTTAAAAAAATATTTTAGAAGTTTTATAGTATTACAACGTCTGAAGGCAATAAATAAAAAGGGAGCGTTGTCTATGATTGGTCATTGTGGTGTAAATATGTATATACATTTAATAATATAATCCTGGTATTGCTCAAAAATGAAAGATGAAATATTAGAGTTTAATAACTACGGTATCAGTCTTTCTGGCAGTACATTAAATTTGTCGTTTTTCGACCTATTTATTCCCTTGACAGACTTCTTAATAAGTTCTTTTAAACATTTACTCATAATTCTTTCAGCAGCTTATGATAAACAAGTTAATATAATTACCAATTGGTTTAATAAAGCTGGTAGAATATCGTCCAAAGCTCTTGAACCTACAGTAGAATGTAAACTATCAAATGTCTTTGCGGCGGCTTGTCTTACTTCTGGCAGGGGATCACATAAAGCTTTTCGTACAGTTGGTACCAACGAATTGACAAACGTCAATACCATTTCTTTTGAAGTAGATGCCATTATTTCTGACAAGCCAATACAGACACCTTGTCTTTGGTCAGATCGTTCCGACTGAAGTCCTTTTTCAAGGATAGGAATAATTTCAGGCAGCACTCTCTCACCCAACTTCCGCACTAGGTCACCAAGAGTTCGAGCAGCAACCTTCAATAAGAAAAATAATGCCTTATTTATAACTAAGAATATCTTCGTCAGTTTTTTAAATAAACATTTCCAGAAAGAAAAAATTAAATGCTTCAGTAAAAAAAAAGAACTCACCTGTCTTTTGTCGTAACTTTCACTTGCAAGGCATCCTAGGAGAAGACCAAAAAGAACCGGCATAATTTCTCTTAGTGTTCGAGGTGTATTCGTAACTACTACCTTCCATACATGCAATGCAGCTTGTCGCACCATCAGAGCTACATCGGACCGACCCATATACAAACCAGCGAGTACACGATTACGTCTCTCTGCCCCCAACACCCGGATAATGGCCTGATGGGATTGTTCGGTACCAAAGTTATCATCTTCACTGGCTGTTTCTGTACTCATTTTTCCAGTGACACCAGAAATACGATAAAGGAGATCACCCAAAAGTTGTACCGAACTAGATTAAGAATATACAAATATATCAGTGCAGTTGTTATATATTTATGTGAAATAGAGATTTTCTATTTTTAAAGTTTTGGACAATTAGCAGTATGCGGTTATTTACTGAAAACTTTATAAGCCTGCAAAATTCAGTTTTTTTTTTAAGATATGATTTTTCAGATTAACTGAAATATATTTTCAATAAGTAAAAGAATAAACAAATAAATACAAATTAATCTTTCCCTAAGAGGTATTTATTGATGCCTCAATGTTTATTAATCCATAACATATTGAAAGTACTAGTCAAATTGAGTTAGGATAAAATAAAAGTATCAGTAGCAATATTCTATATAACAGAAGTAATAGTTACTAAGTTAGCATTTATATTTGCTGATAGCATAATATTAAAAAAAAAACAATAATTGTAATGTATAACTTTCTTAACTACATATATAATAATCTCTAAAACGTTAACTTTCATGATTAGCAGATTGCAAGTTAATTATTCTTTCTTTCTATCACGTATCAAATGCCTAAAAAAGTAAAACAGCTTACCTGTAACGAATTCTCCAGTTATCATCAAACAATCCTTTTTCTAATTCAGGTAAAAGAAGGAGGATGGCAGAGTCGGCATAAAGATTAACAATACGTTGACCTGCCTTCAGTGCCGTATCTCTTACATATTCGTTTTCATCAGCTAACGCTTTTAAAATCGGGTTTATAATTTGACCTATATACGGGGTGAATTCCTGTTGAAATACAACCGGCATGTATATAAACATCATAATGTAACCATCTTTCACGTGCGGAGCGATGTCAGTTCTTTCTGCAGTCGCTATGATTTCTAACAAAAAAAAAAAAATAATTAGTAAATTTACATATACTGACTAACTTCTGTTAAAAATAGAATCATTATAATTTGATGTGAAAGTTAAACAGTGTTTATTGAAAGGATTAAAAGTATTATGCTTTTTGATTAATTTAAGTGAAGATTTCAAAACAGAAATTATGTTATTTGCTATAGTTAGTACGTATAGCAGATAGTTTTTAGTTTCAGTATTTTTTAAAACATGTTTCGGCGCCTTTTAATAACCCTAAAATTAATTCAAACTAGATTTCACTTGTTTTCATGTTCCTGTTTTTTAAAATCATTTCATTATATTCAAGCACTACAATTTAATTGTGAATATAATGTAGTATTTTTTGAATTAATTCATTTTAGTGAGTGCACCTTACGACTATGTGATATTTCCCAATTGTCCGTAGTGTGTAAGGGGTCGCTAATAAAATAGGTTTGCA